AGAGCTACAGTCTCAACAGAGACTTTTGGTTTGTTTTGTTACATGTATGTTGCACTATTACAAAGTATCATAACACATGTAATATAAACAGGTATTACATGTACTATAAATTATAGTTATGCATTTTGGCCAGTTCTTTTAAAATCAACTGGCCCAGTGGGATAATAAGAGTTATTGGAGTATTGAGTTATTAAAAAATCAAGGTGAAAGCCTAAGTGACCAGTGAAAAATATAATTATTAATTTTCTAGCTCTACACTTTACCATATGAATTTGCTTCTCAGGGTTTTCTCTTCTGATTTGGTTGGATCCAATAAATACTGCAGCACATGGACAACTGTTGCTATGAGAAAGAATTTTAATCAATTGTAAATAATGTATAATTCAAGAGAGGAATTATAAAATATATGAGAGATGTTTAAAACCTCTATAATACACCTGGTGTACTAGCAAGCATATACTGTCTAGTGCATATACATGCTTAAATTTTCAGTATAAACTTTATGAGTGACAGTATATTTTAATGATTTTTATCAATTTTCTTGATTTTCAAAATATCATCAGTTTGAAAAATTTATAGGCACTCAATTTAATTTTGTATAAATCTTTATGTAATTATGGTGACGAAATATTTGTATGATCAGCTAAATTTTCAAAATTGTCCTTGCATGTATCAAAATATACCTATTTCCTCTTTTAAAACCACTGTCATACTCCTTGGTCCAAACTCATACATTCATTATTTTAACTTCCAACTGAAAATTTTGTCCTACCTGATCCAACTGAACTGGTATATTGTCTCCCTCATTTTCAATCAGTATTCTTTACAAAGGTAGGGGTAGCCCATCGGTCTGCTTTTGCTTTCTTCCTTTTGATCGGGACGGCAGCACTTTGACTTAATTCTTTGCCATTTTAATCCTTAATTGTCTTGGACATACTTATAATTTTAATGTGCTAGTAGTGTCAATAGAAAAAATACCATTTCTATAGGCCTACAGCAGTAAGGAATGCAGCAAAACGATCGCCTCTGGTACATCATAAATTTTCCATACAACCCAGCTAGGATATGTTCAGAGACTTGAGTAAACGCATATGGTTTGAAAGATCCTTAGTGTATTCTTCTAAATGAATTTATTGGGCCATCACTGTTTGAAATGTTTGAAAAATTGCTGAATTCATATTGTTCCTCTGCCCCCTCAGTATTGCAATAAAATTTTCTCCTTTTTTGTATGGAGAGTTCTACTACGGGAGATAACTCTTCAACACACAAATAACACTCATTTTATTATCTTTCTTTATCAATTTTGGTGAATATTTTAAACTTTCACGACGGTTTTAATTTTGATTGTCTTTTTCAGCATTTATTTACATTAAAATAAAATTATTAATCATCAATTGAAGCAATATTCATTACATTTGAACAATTTTAAGATACAAATGGAGAGCTTGGCTAACATCGAAAGGTCATCATTTCCACCAATTATTTGTTATATGTCCTATTAAAAGCCATCAGTGAATTTTTAATATTTGATAGAACATAAATAAATTATCATAAAGCACATTATTAGATCAAATTATTTTCTCCATTTAAGCTGTACCATTGCACTAAACAAGGATAATAAATCTAAAGTTCTAGATTTAGCTTTACTCATGGTTCGATCATAGAATACATATAGATGCAATCATTGTGAAAAATAATTTTTTTTCATCTTTGACATGTATGTGTTGATGATATAATTAATATCTGGCATTGCAAAAATTTTTCAATTGATTTTGCAAGGTCTCAAACTTTCATATTTGCACCTACTATTTTATGCCAATTTTTGCTAAATATAGAAACAGGGCTGTTACTAAAAAGAGAAACACATGGCACACTTTTCAAATTTAAATTTTAGATCCTCAGACAACCTAGACCTTAAAAATATATGATAAAATGAAAAGGTTTGTAGACCCTCCTGGACGATTTTTCAGATTTTGCATGTTTTTCTCTGAGACACGCTCTTAAGATAGGGCCCATATTTGAAAAGTTAACGCACATCACACAAATGCTAATAAATAGCTTCAAAAACCTTTAAGGTCAAGTCGTTTCTCAAATTTGAAAAAAAAAAAGTTCTAGGTTTTGATTTTCAAGGTCTGCTTTTAATAAATTCTATATTTTCTGTATGATCTTTTAAAAACATCGCAAGCAAATTTACCTACTAGTATTTGGTAATAATTTTGTTGGTTTATTTCATAAGAAATGTAAATTTTGTCTGTGTTTTTACTTAATTTGATTGAACCCATCGTATTGAAGCCCACATGACGTGTCTGTAGAGATTTTTTATATTGATATCTTCTCAAACTTCTTTTTTATGCATTCATTCCGCAAAGTGTCACCGTTTGTGAAAAATCAGGTCTCAACCGAGATTCAACCCCAGGTAGGGCCTCTGTCCTACCCTTCCAGAGCGTTGAGGTATTCAGACTAGATATATTTCCTTCTTTCACATCTATTGATTTAATAGCATTTGTAAATCAGAACTATTGTTTCTAGAAAAATTGATGTACCTGCAGAGTCCGATCGAATGAGTGTAATTATGCCGAATACAAAGGTATGTATCTTTATGGCTCGAGATCAAGACCTAGGAACCGGATCTTTGTTTGAGACCCTATTATCAGCGTTCTATGTTACAGTTAATAAGTTTTCAACGACTATTCCTTTGAAAATTGAATTGACAACAGTTAACCTTCAATTGGCGACGCTAGCATGAAACATAGAGTTCAGCTCAGCGAAAGTTGTTTGAAAGTAAAGCAGTCTCACAACTAACTAAAACCCTAGAATTTACATTCCAAAATGCACAATATATGCAATTTTGATCTGAGAGGGCTTAAAGTTACTTGGTAATAGACTTATCCAAATCCTTCAGACGAGTCGCCCATCAAGAAAATGCTATTCAAATCCAGCATTTTATATGTTTTATAGTTTTCTGGGGATATACCTGCACCCATAACTTTTGCCTTGTCAATTATCTGGAAATTGTAAGTCAGATTCAGCAACTGACGTAAGTGCAATAATGTGCTGCCTTAGATGTATCATTCATGCAAGTTAGCTTAAAATATTGCTCATAGTTACATTGAAATTAAACCTGCATTAATATTGCTCGTATTTACATTGAAATTAGACCTGCATTAAAATCTAACCTTTTTAAACATCCAAAAAATATAGGTCAGATCAAGCATCTGGAACAAGCCTGGTAGTATGGATCCTTATCATCCATGTAAGTTTGGTAATAATGAGCCTAACAGTTTCTGCACTAAAAACTTGCTTACTCGACTCATTCTGAAAATGTAAGTGGCATCCAGCATCTAAAACTTATATGGTACAATGCAACACACTGGAAGCATGCCTGATAAATATAGGGAAATGAAGTTCTTACAAAGGAAAACTGCTCCAAGACCTTAACCTGAGACACATCAGCTCCCTAAAATTCGTTATGTTATAGTGAGGTAAAATACTGACATGAGCAGATTCTTCAAGGAAATGTGACTCACAATATCCCCTTCTACAACGGATGAGACAGGCGAATTTTGTCCTGAAGTTGTTCTTGTTTTTCTCTACATCCGCCGTAAGAAAATAGTTCACATCGTTTGGTCGATTTGTTATACCACCAACGTCTGAATGCTCCCCTGCAGGGACCTACAACCTTAGGCTGGGAACAGACACCTCTGGATGTAGCTAAAAAATATATCAAATTTTGGGAAAATGATGGGTGAAACCAATCAACGTCGGAATGCTCCCTTACAAGGACCGACAACCTTTGGTTGGGAACAGACACCTCTAGGAGTAGCAAAAAGAATGCAAAATTAGGGCTTATGACGGACGAAATCAGTCAACAGAGATATTTATTCCTTTTAGGCATCTGATCCCACCTCTGGGATCAGCAGCTGGAAAATAGGAATAAAACATATCGTGATTAGTGAGTATAGTCAACAGAGGACGTTTACTTCTCTTTGGCACCTGGAATTTCCTAGAATATATTTCCCCCAGTGTACAAACTTGTATCAATTCAAGTTTTAATAAATTCGATCACAATTTGCTGAAATCTTCTATAACAAGTTTCAATAATTATTATGAATACACTAGGGGTTTATAAGCGTTTCAAAGTGTCTTTTTATGTGCTTTATGCCAATTGCTCCATTTGAATGATCTGATGCTTTCCTTTACTTACGTTTTATAAGGCCCTTAGCGTACAGAATACATCTCCATTAGCGTCACAGCAACATTTACTTTACTTACGTTTTATACAGACACTTAGTGTACAGAATACACGTCCATTAGAGTCACAGCAACATTCACTTTACTTACATTTTATACAGACACTAAGTGTACAGAATACACGTCCATTAGCGTCACAGCAACATTTACATGTACTTTACTTACGTTTTATACAGACACTTAGTGTACAGAATACACGTCCATTAGAGTCACAGCAATATTCACTTTACTTACGTTTTATACAGGCCCTCAGTGTACAGAATACACGTCCATTAGAGTCACAGCAACATTTACTTTACTTACGTTTTATACAGACACTTAGTGTACAGAATACACGTCCATTAGCGTCACAGCAACATTTACTTTACTTACGTTTTATACAGACACTTAGTGTACAGAATACACGTCCATTAGAGTCACAGCAACATTTACTTTTCTTACGTTTTATACAGACACTTAGTGTACAGAATACACGTCCATTAGAGTCACAGCAACATTTACTTTATTTACGTTTTATACAGACACTTACACAGCTAATTGTGCCACGTACGTTTCACGTATGTTAAACGTATGTGACACGTACGTGACTTCACGTACGTTTTCCATGAAAAAGATACCACGTATGTTATACATACGTTTTCACACGTGTGAATATCATGCGTGTCACATATGTTAAACGTACGTATTGCCCACCAAACGTTACACATATATTGCACACGTATGTTATTCATACGTTTCACATATGAATAACGTACGTGCAACGTGTGTGTAACATATGTTTTTCATAACATGTTTAATGGGTTTATTATTTGCACTGCTCATATAGTAAATGTATGAATACCATACAAAAATGTGTCAAACCATGGTTAAACACATGTTTTGAACATTTTTTTTCACATATTGTAAACGTTGGTGAAACAAAAATTACGTGAAATTTAAATATTCAATTCATGCATTTGACATAATTTTCCTCAAAGGCATATTTTCTTTTCATCTGTTGAATGATCCACTTTCTGGTTATCCTTCACTTTAAATTTCCTGATCCTTAATTGCTCTTGAAGCAATCACAACAAAAGACATATTTAGATTTAAACCAAATTTAATGTAGAGTGTGTTAACATCAATTCATTTTTCTCCAGTTCTCTTTTGCCTGTAAAGAAAAAGAAAATATTAGATGCATGGAATAAGGGAAAAACCCATTTTTTCCCCTGAACATTATTATTATCCTGATATTAATCCTGGTTGATTCACTGTATAACTTAAATATAAATACTAAATAATTAATTTCTTAGTATTCAAAACCATGATCTTTTAAACTATTTTTTTCACTATATCCTCAAATATTTACCTTGTAATTCTCTTATCTAAAATTCATTACATAGCATTGATTTGTGCGTGAACTCGGAAAAAAAGATGTGTTTGTACATACTAATACCCCATATGCCAGCTTATGGTTAAAGTTTCCCAAGTGTAAGTCAAACTCCAAAGTCAAGGTCAAAGGTCAAATTGTTGACATCCAAGGAAGGACTTGTCACAAGGAATAAATCTGTGAAATATGAAAGCCCTACTACTACCAGCTCAAAAGTTATGATCAAAGTTATTTTTTTTTTAAACAGTGGGTTAAACTAGAAGTTCAACGTCAAATATTTTAATTTATACCCATTGAAAGGTCTTGTCACAGTAAATATACAAGTGAAGTATGAAAGCCCTTGCACCAACTGTTCAAAAGTTATGGCCAAGATTCAAGTTATGAAACTTTCTTAAAAGTTAGTCACAATCCAAGTTCAATTCTAAAGGTTAATTTGGTGTACCAATACAAAAGTATTGTCACAATGAATACCCAGGTCTGTGAAATATGAAGGCCATACTTTCACCCACTAAAATAATATGGCCAATGTGAAAAGATTTTGCAGACAGACAGACAGGCCTAGGGCAAAAGCTATATAGATGTACTCCAGAATCTTTGATTACAGGGGTATAAAACTTATTCCTCATTGTCATGAACTTAGTCTTTTTGCTTTCAACTTAGGAGCATTCTATAGATTTTCAATGAATCAATGCATTTTCAGTTTATGATTAATTAATTAAGCTGTGCCTTTACATCTGATCCACCTACCCTGGGGCTATATGAATTTCATAATTTTAGTAGGACTCAATGCTTATTAAAATCTTGCTAATAGTTTGCTTGATGTCCAATCAAAAAAATACAATTTTGAATAATTTTGATGGGTTCAGGGATTAATCTAGGGCATATTTACTACCGATAATGGGTGTATTTCCCCTACAGAAAATTTCCCCTGAAGATCTAATTTTTTCCCTTTTGATGAGTAAAATATTCCCCTTACAATAGCAAAAACCTCAAATAGTTCTTTTTCTTTCATAAAAACTGAAAATTTAAAGTAAAATTTTCATTACATGAGAAATATGGTTTTAATTTGCTACTTCATGCATTTTAAATGGTCATAAAAATGCTGTAAGTCAATTAGCCTCAAAGCAGGGCTTGCCCTGCACTAGCTCAAGTGGTTCCCATACCTCGGCTCATTTTCCCAATTTCTCCAGAAAGGGTAGTTTCCCCAAAAACCTAGATTAATCCATGGGGTTAACCCCCCCTTAGTTTGGGTGGCGGTGTTGGGAGGATGCTGTAAATGCTAAAATTTTACCAGACAGAGCACAGTGTATGACGATGGACAACTGGAAACCCAAGGGCATTGAATTGCTCTTCTAATAAATTGTACAATCTATCACTAGTATTTGAAGCCTCTATGTTTATAAGACCCAAAATACATCAACCAAGAAAGTTCCATAATGATTCTTAGCCAGTTAGGACTGAAGATATTTCAATAGAGCTATAAAATACCATAAGTAGGTCATGGTGACCTACTTTTTGGTCGACATTCTCCAAAAACCCTAGATGCCTCAACTCACAAAGTTTAACAATTCTAGGCCAATATAGACTTCTTTTGGTTTTATCTTCCTGTTTATCTCCCCTTGTATAAGGGTCCAAACCCTAATTTTAGTATAAATGGTAGCCCTTGGGCCAAGGATGCTCTGTGAAAATTTGACAATGATTGTCCAAGGGGATCTTGAGTTATGGCCCACATTCTAAAAAGTTTATGCACACCGCACAAATGGCCATAGCATTAGCTCTTTGAGCCTTTGGCTCAGAGGAGCTAAAAACAGTATTCATGTACACCTATTTACTGGCTATAGGAACAAAAGCTAGTTTATCGTCCCCCAAGACAACAACTCCCCAAGATGCAGCTGAGGGAAATAGTTTGCTGTTGAGGGAGATGATAAACAAGCTATTTTCCGAATAGTAAGTAAATAGGTGTTTTATTATTGCACCTGATCCCACCTCTGATGTTTCGGGGTTCCGTGTTTGCTCTGCTCTTATTTTGTATAGTTTTATGGACTTTGAGATTGAATACTGTTCGTTATCTCCATATTCTTCTATTATATACTGAAGCTGACTTAATTATATGTAAGGTCCGATCTGGATAAAACCAAGAGTTACAAAATGAAAAATTGAACTAACTACCATCTGCATTAATCTTTAGCTTGGCATGGACTCATCTGTTTTTGTGTGTGTTCCAAGTGTATACTTTTTGTCCTTTAGGTTAAAAAAAATATATGTTAAAAAAAATAAACAACTTTCACATTAAATTTACAAAAGTTATTCCCCGTTGCGGGGTCAATCCAGCATAAGGCCCTGTTTTTCCCTCTGTAACCTTACCAAATTTATTGGTCAGTATCTTAAAAATAAAATCTGTAATGAATATCGTTCATTAAGATTTTCATGTTGCCCCAAACTTCGGCAATACCGGTACAGATCTAAATAGTCCAATAACGTTTGAAGATTGAAAATAATATCAGGTAACTTACAATGGACAAAGTGGGAAAAATGAGAGTTATGCCGACAAGGGGAGATAACTCTTAGTAGTGTGAAATTCGTCAAACTTGATTGCATTTCAAATTTTACATGAAAAGCTTCAAGTTACATGTAGTATTTGCAAGTCTAAAAGCAATATGATCAGAAAATCTGATTCCTTTATAATTAAAATTATTACCATATTCAGGATTATACTGGTTAAACTTTAAGAATCTGTTTTGGAGTCCTTTCTAGGCATATAGGTATTTACAAATATGAGCTTCAGTCACCATCCTGGAATGCATATCTAAAATCACATAAAAATTCTCAATCAAATTCAGATGAAAAATAGTTTGAAGTATGAAGCGTTGCTCACTTTTTCAGAAATGAATAATATGTCAAATCATGATGTGAAGAAAATTTGATACGGTAAATAGAAAGATCAATTATTTTTTATCTCACAATTAAATTAGAAATATGAGGTATATATAAAAATAATATTTACTCTCATACCTATCTCATTCCCAATAGAAAACATACTGAAGCGTTGCTTTTTAAACCAGAATATCAAATTGTTTTCTCTGCATGTAAAATAACACGCATTCATTAACAAGAGTTATTGTTCCATTATTGCCCTTGAAAATATTTTTTAATGAAACAAAATATCAATCAAATGTTTTTAACAATTCTGCATCTAAAATTTCTGTACAATTAAAAGACTTATATGTTAAGAGATAGAATTTTCTCAATTTACACCGTTTAAAGGAACTGAGTATAAATGATTTAGGTTAACTATTATGAATAATTAATAAATATGCTAGCGGTAGAAACTAGAAATAAACATCTGTACAATACAAGAGGTTTGATTGAGTTGACTATAAAATGTTCCTTTATATGAATGAAATTTGTAAACTCTGGCATCACAATTCACTGACTTTCATGACAAAATGTATGCTGAAAGTTATCTCTCTTATCAGAGGGATATTCTACCTTAAAAACTACTTTTATTTGTATGGGCATAACTTTGAAGCGTTGGTGGTATTAGAAAATCTACAATCATTGCATGTTCTCAACGAACTCCTTAATTTCGAAAACAAAACTATGAATTAGCATTTCTTCAACCATGAAATCAACTCCATTGAAAACAATATTTTTCTACAAATCACTGAAATTTCCTGCTTCGAATTTATGTTAATTTACGAAACACAGTGGTTTACATTAGCTTAATACAATGTATGCATAATTCAATATTGTTTTTTTTATCCACTTGATATAGCATTTAAAATTTGGTCAATTTGAAGTAATTTTTTAAAGATAATTTGTCCAAATTTTGTATGCCTTCTCCTACTGTACGTGCTTACAAGTATTTGGCACACCAATCTGCTCCACATATACTAGTACTACTATTGTATACATACACTTCATGTACGTTCTTCCAGCACGAGTGACAGGCACTTTAGATCTTCACGTACTACTTTTTAGTATACCTAATACATGGTCTCTCCGTTCAGTTGATACGCCCATCTAAATGTATACCAACGCCTTATACATGCTCGTTCTGTGCAGCTGACACGCCCATCTTATTGTATACCTATGCCCTATACATCCTCGTTGTGTACAGCTGACACGCTTTTATTGAAAACCTACACCTTAAACATGCTCCTTCTGCACAGCTGACATGCCCATCTTATTGAATACCTACGCCTTACACAAGCTGGTTCTGTGCAGCTGACATGCCCATCTTATCGTATAATTACGCCTAATACATGCTCGTTCTGTACAGCTGACACGTCCATCTTATTGTATACCTACGCCTAATACATGCTCGTTCTGTACAGCACATCTTATTGTATACCTATGCCTTATACACGCTCTTTGTGTACAGCTGACACGCACATCTTAATGTATACTTACGCCTTATACATGCTCGTTCCGTACAGCTGACACGCCCATCTAATTGTATGCCTACGCCTTATTTATACCCGTTCTGCGCAGTTGACACGCCCATCTAATTGTATACTTACGTCTACTTCATGCTCGTTCTGTGCAGCTGACACGCCCATCTTATTGTATACCTACGCCTTATACATGCTCGTTCTGTACAGCTGACACGCCCATCTAATTGTATACTTACGTCTAATACATGCTCGTTCTGTGCAGCTGACACGTCCATCTTATTGTATACCTACGCCTTATACATGCTCGTTCTGTGCAGCTGACACGCCCATCCGTTCCACACGTACACCTGTTACAACCGTCAGTTGATGGGAAACTCTGCCTGGGTTTGTAAGCCCTGTAGTTGTACGTGAATCCTGTAAAAAGTATTTTCTTTGTATTTGACAACAAGCATGAGTATGTCTTAAAGAAAAAGAATATGCAGTTTATGGAAGGGAATTACCGCCAAAAGTCTATGTATCTTGCTTTTATTCTTATTCTGCCTACTTCTTTATGCTTTGTTATTATTGTAATTATATGTCACTTTATTGTTTTCATATTCGTCTTCATTACATTTCACTTTGACTTTTATCCTTCTTCATTTTGCCCTTACTTCTATGTTGCTTTATTCTTGTAAATTCATTTTACGTTCTTTTAAACTTTAAACTGATACAGTTTCTTAAATGATTATAACTATTACGAACGTTAACTCAATTACGCAAACAATGAAGCATATTCAATGAAGACGAATACAAGTTGTCCGAATTTAGTGCCGCATTATAACGCTAGGTGGCATGGGTGTTCGCTAAGAGTGTTGGTAAAATTAGGTAAGCAAACCCGGGCCGGGGTTATTCGAGTTTTTTCAATTTTCTGTCTTAATACTTCATTAATCAAACTTAAATTTTTAAAAGACTGATGTTTGTTATAAGTTCAGGTATGTACCCGATACATACCATTCCCTCGGAAGTCTCGCTAGATGGTAAGATTTCCCCTGGAAGACTGACTACATAGGGATGCTTCCTGTGGAAGACTATACATTGGGACTCCCCCGGGGAAGTTTCAATATAGTCTTCCGTGGGAAATTTCGCTATATATAGCAATTCGTCCCTTCCTAGCAACCCCTGCCCCGAATAGTTTTTTAAATCGTAAAACAATGTTTATATATACTAACGTTTTCAGTTTTTGAAGAAAAGTTATCCGTTCTATCAGGGACCTATATACTAGTAGATATAGGTCCTGGTTCTGTATGAATAAATATTTAAATAATATCATTTTAATAGTGTTTTATAATTAAATCATTTTAACCATTTAGTTAAACATAGATAATCTTCACGAGTACATATGGATAATGACTCTTTCTCTCTCTCTCTTTCTCCCCCCCCCCCCTTGGACGCAGTCGCCAGCTTGGCACTGTGGTTACGGCGTCTGCTCTTTATAGAGTCACGAAGTACAGTAGTAAGGAGTCGACCAATACGTCGTGGGTTCGAATCCCACCATAGGATGTGGAATTCGGTCCTACGGATAAGACCTAGACCGCATTATCCGAGGTCCCGTGTCGCAGTAGGTGCTGGCACGAAAAAAGATCCCTCACTGCTCAATGGCTATAAGTGCCTCGTAGGACAAATTTGCAGCTCTCCACCGGCAAGAGGTGGCTTCTCCATTTGAGTGAAAAATTCTCGAAAAGGAAATTATACAATGTACAATCACACCACCAAAGTCTCAATATATATATATACTGACGTTCGGGTGGACGACCTCCTATGGGGTAAGTTTCATCGGTAGAGGGGAGGGTGGCCACGAAACATTTACCTAAACGTAACTTTTTACTACTGGAAAAGTTCAGCAAAAGGCTTGTTGCCCCCATCCCTTACACTTTTTGTTGCAGTACTAATACTGAGTAGTCAATTTATATATTAAAAGTCATGTACTTAGTGGCATATGAGTAGAATTTATTACTGAAAAAAGTTGACGACCCCCCCCCCCCCTTCACCACCACCAAATAGAATTTTCGAGTTTTAAGATTTTTTTTAGCTCTCCTGGTTGATGACAAAGACGGTGCGTATTAAAGATGTTTCTTTCTTTATTGAAAAGTGCTATTTTAGTATAAAATATTAACGCAGGAAAAAAAACCGAGGTGTTTCTAGTATGCCTGGGTACATGTAGTCTGGTTCCGACTTCGCCTTCCACGCGCGGATCTAGATGGGGGGGGGGGTTAGAACCCCTTCGAATAAACAAGGTTACTAAAACGAGGAATAGAAGTTAAACACCTCCCCCCCCCCCCATGAAATAGAATTTTGACGTTTGAGCAAGTTTAGGTTTTTTTCTTCTTTTTATGCTTGTCAAGAAATTTCTGGGATTGGATTTTTTTTTGACTGGGTTCCCCCCCCCCCCCGGAAAAAAAAATTCTGGATCCGCGCCTGCCTACCCATAACGCTCCTCACTCCTTTGCAAAGCCCTGTTTAGATCAGCAGTTACTATCTGTCGTATAAAGTTCAGTTTCAGGCGAGAGAACAGTGACGTAGCATCGTTTTTGAAAGTGGGGAGGGGGGTAACAAGAGAATAAATATTCAAGCTACCCGACTGCAAACAACTTGACAAGCACAAAATAAACCCCAGGAAATTGTCCAAACTTGAAAATACATAAGTGTCGGAACCGGGGCAGAGGGAGGGGCGGCTTAGCCCCCACTTCTTTCCAAAGATAGACTTAGTATAGACATTGAACATTCCTGCGTAGCTTTAGCCCCCCCCCCCCACTTTCCATGGACACGATGCAGTAAAGGTATAAAATGGGGAAAGTGGTGGCATTTGGAAAAAAAAAACTTTGGCACTGGAGTTCGATCCTTCAACCTACCCCCACCCCACCCCTCCTCACGAAATAGGATTTTTGTGTTTGGAAAATAGACATTTCTTTTATTTTTTTTTTTTGCTTGTCAGGTTTTTTTGAAGGTCTAAAAATTTCTTATATAATTACGCCCCCCCCCCCAACTTTCAATTAGCTTCCGACGCCAATGAAATCCTATTTCGGGGGCGGGGTGGGTTTTGAGTTAGATTCAACTCCTTTAGAATCAAATTTAAATTTTCTTCCTACTATACGTACTACATTTACTTATTTGACCCTTACTCTTATAAAAAGCGGGTCGGTCTTTAAATGAACATATATTATTAGTTACATAGTCTTTTAGTGACAGGGTATGGGATGATACTGGTTAGTAAATTTCATACCTGGAGAGGCGGAGCCAGGAATTTACCCCACCCATGAAACATTTACGTTTTATCTGTAGTTTATAAATGGTTTTCTCTGCTAAATGCTTCATCACGCTTGTACTGTGCCTATTATGACGTCACGTTTGTGTTT